ACAATCTCTGTCTTTTACTTGGTGTGTGTGGCATCAGTGAATAGAATTATAAGAAAAAAATCCCACTGGAGTTTTTAATGGAACTGTACTCAACCTGTAAATTAATTCAGAAGACTTTTTACTGTATTAAGTCTTCCCCATCAGGAGTCTATGTCATTGCATTCTTTTCAAGAGTATAGCACCTGTAGTCCTAGCTACTCAGGAGACTGAGGTGGGAGGATTGCTTGAGCCTGCAAGTTTGAGGTTACAGTGAGCTATGATCGCACCACTGCACTCTAGCCAAGGCAACAGAGTGAGACTCTATCTCTCTAAAAAAAAAATATAAAAAAGAGCATAATTAGTCTTTTTGAGGCGTAGGAATCATGTCCTGTGAACCGTTGTGAACAGAATTGTTTGGCTTGGAGGAAAGGAGACTTGGGAACACAATAGTTCTTTCAAATACTTGAAGAGAAAGAGAGATTAGTCTTGTTCTACAGTCCCAAGGGGGAGAAGTCAGACCCACTAAAGGAAGTTATGAAGAAGGCTGATTTTGGCTCAAATGAACCTGGAAGTTGAAATGGGTTGCTCCCCACCCCAGGTGTGCTTAACAACTCGGAGTGGCCAGGTGTTGGCTGCTGTCCTTGGTTTCGCCAGTCTTCTGTTTTGCTAAGAGCTGTTCACCAGCTCTTATTTTGCTGTCTGGGACCCATAGGCTTCATAGCAGAGGAGACGGGCAGGGGAGGGTGTGGCTGAGACTGAGAAAGGCCGGGGGAATGAGGCAGCTGCTGAGGGGAGAGAAGGTTTGGGCAAAGGACACGATGCCTTAAGGGGTTTTGGAGGGAAGTTTTGCTCCATAAATGAGATATAACCCTCTCGTTGGAGCCCCACAAAGCTTTCCACAAAATCTTCCATCATTCATCAATGCTTTTGTATTTGTATCTTTCAGAGAGAGAGCAGCAGTGCTGAGCCTGGGTTGAGGGTTGAGGGTTGAAGGTTGGCAGAGGGTTGAGCCTGTAAAGAAAAGTTTTTTAGCAGGTCGTTCAGGGATGAAAGGGGCTGTCTCCTTACTGTGAGAGCCATTCTAGCAGAACTTGGACCATCTACGGGCAGGAAAAACAAGCAGGGCACTCAAGCGACTGATGAAGACCTGATTGTTTTTAAAGTTCCTTGACTCTGGAGGGCTCTGATTCATGGGCACCTGTTCCTCTGATTCTTTCACAGAGCAATGAACGCTGCCCCGCAGGTATAGTTATTTACTCAGGTAGAGGAAGCATCTCAATGTGTATGCCTGGGACCACCAAGGGAGGGAGGGGATAAGAAAAGCCAAATGATTGTTCTGCCATATTATTTTCAAGTAGGTTAGTTTCGTTTTCTGGTTCTTGGAGTCATAGTTGGGACCTGCTGGCATTGTGAGGTGCTTAAATGCTAGGTAGGGAACGAGTGGGATTTTATTTACTCTCCCCCGTTTTCAGCTACAGAAAGATATCCCTGTGTAATATTAAGTAAAGGGAAATATTTACATGTTGGAGAAAAGGACTTTCCAGGGAGGGAGAAGCTGAGGTTGTTGAGGTGGGGAGTCTTCCAGCTGGGTCTTGGGGGATCATTTTTGAAGCAGCAGAAGCCTCAAGACCTGTGAGAGCCAGGTGCCTTTGTGGTTTTTCAGGTCTAAGCTCAGGGGTGCTTGCCACTTGTAATTTCTCCAGGCCCCTAAACTGCCCTGCCATAGCAGACAGGGGCCACCAGAGAGAGGGAGTAAGTCAGGTTTGTCAAACCTGAGGCTATAGATAGGCTTCATTATCATCATTACCAATAATATCATGTGTCTACATATGATGTTACAGTGGGGTGGGGTGGCGTCTACAAGAATAAAATTTTAATTATGTCTATATTGTGTCTATATGTGGTTTATCATGTACAGACACAAGGTGCCATGGTAGAGGGGAAAGGAACATAGCATGTCACACAGTGTCTCTTAAAGATGCCTGCCTGGAAGTAATGCACTTCTGCTTACATTCCACTGGCCTTAGCCATGGCCTATCCAGCTTTAGCAGGTGCACGGTGGCCATGCAGTGTGCCTGGGAAGAGCATCAGAATACCAGTGAGCTGCCCTGGTGACAGCATTTGGTAGACCTGAGGTCAGTTTGTAGCTGGTGATCTACGCCTAAAGTGCCAATAATGATTAGAAGGGACAGAGATAGCAACTCTCTGGGTAAGAAGTTTAGGATGGAGGTCATGGGGTTTGAAAGCAGCCTCTTCCCTCTTCCTCATGTTTTATTCCTTCTCTGCATCACTTCAAAGTCAATGGCAACTTCTCCCTGGTGGAGTTTCCATTATCCTTGGGAACAAAGACCCCAGGTGAAAATGAGAGGTAATTTGGAGCTGATAGATGAGAAAGAAAGTGGATGTAGATATAATGTCCCCCCACAGTGTAAAACATGGAGGAACAAAGCAGTTGTTGTTACTGAAAGTTCAGCACTTGTCCCTGAGGCCACAGCAGAAGAATGAGGACACATGGTCTGAGGAGAAGGAAAGGGAATTTTATTAATTTGCCAGCAAAGGAAGAGAATGTCAGACTTCTGTCTTAAAGTACCATTTTCTTATCTATAAGCAGAAATACAGAGCTTTTAAAGGGAGGGTTTTCAGCTTCAGGTTATTGCTGTTTAATTATAGTTGATGGTTCTGATCCATCCATCTCCAGTAAAGACAATCTCATGACTTCCCCCCACCATACACAATTCTGTTGAGCCATCTCCTGTGGTACAAAGAACAAAGGACACTCCTCTGCCCCTCTTATCACTGGCCTCAGGCAAGAATGCAGGTTTTAATTCTCAAGAAGAGTGGGGGGGGGCATTTAAAGAGACAACTCTTAAAATATTTTACCCTTTTTCAGGCCATTCCCTCTGTTACATTGTCACAAAAATGCTTCAAGCCAAACTTCACATGAAGTGTGCCCCCCAATGCCACCTGCCACCGATCCCAGGAAATAGCACCCCTGGAGGGCACATACATGCTGGGAAAACATGTGGGCTTGCTGGCATTCCTGAAGGGACTGGGCTGGTCCCCTGGGGTCTGTTCAGGGCTTTCTGGCTCTCCTCTACCTTTGGGGCTGAGGGAAGCCAGTAGGCATGGACCATTGCCTCCTGGGTGCCTTAAGAAAAACAGAATCCTTATTCTCTGACTGTTGGGTGGGGAGTGCCTTTTTCTTGCCACTTCTAACAGACATCACTCCAGGGATCTTAAATGGAAATACACACTCACCACTTTTTTCTCTAGGCTTGAGGGCTAGCCATCCTACCTTAGGGTGGCAGTGACTGGACTTGCCCAGCAGAGTGGACATCTAGAATTGTAATCACATCTAGCCACAGGAAATAGCATTGGCATCATTTCTCAACCCTGCCTTCAGCATACTAAACGCGTTTTAAATGGGCCAAGTTCATCACAGATTTGAGGTTTGTTGAGACTCTGTGTCACTGAGTGGGGCCAGGGCCCCTAGGGACTTAATTCCAAGTCTTGTCCAGCATATGCCCCAGACTGTGCTAAATCTCAGAGGGTCCCTGGGTTAGAGGGGAGCTCCTGATCTCAGAGCCCTTTGCTGCCTGTGACTCTTCTCTTCCTTATCTGGTTCTCTTCAGGAGCTTGAGCGCCTTAACCAGGTGCTGGAGGCTGAGAAGCAGCAATTTGAGGAGGTGGTGCAGGAGCTGCGAATGGAGCAGGAGCAGATCAAGAGGTGAGCGTGGTACCCTGAGATGGGAGTGAGAAGGGGTGCTCCTATGTTAGAGCACCCTAGAACAGGTGCAGAGCCCACCTTCCTGGTCAGGCCTGGAAAGGCCTCCACACAAGAGATACTATAATACTTGACTTGGTTTGGGTGCATCTTCCCAATGCTCCAGACATTGGGTATGCCCAGAATAATCTGTAGACCACCCCTCTACAAATGAGTCATTTCTGCCCACTGGAGCATGAGGCATGGTGAGTGCAGACAGGCACCCCTCCAAGCAACAAAGCCCTCCTGTCTCCATGAAAGACTCTTACCCAGGATCAGACAGGAGCAAGCTGGCCTGGGGTGCTATTGGCCAAGACCCCTGACCTTCTGTGTCTTTTCTGCATAATTCTTCCACATCTTGGCTAATGATGCCCTTAGGGATCTTCAGTCTCATGTATTGTTTGCAAATCTAGTCCCACATTAGAATCATCTGTTTAATTAGAATCTCTTGACAGTAGGGCCCAGAGATCTATATTTTTAAAAAAGCACCCCAGGTGATTCTGATGCAGTCCATCCAGAAATTTGGAGGCTACCTCTCTGAATAGTGTTGATGGTGGTGGCCATAATTGTCATCACCATTATTATCATCATCACCACTCATCATCAGTGACAGCCCAGAAAAATTTTTCTTGCTACCACCTTATAAAAGGATGTCAATTAGACATGTATTTTGAGGAGGGAGAAACTCAAAGAATCTTCCCAATTAAATAGCCAAGCACTGGCTGGGCGTGATGGCTCACGCCTGTAATCCTAGCACTCTGGGAGGCCGAGGCAGGAGGATCGCTCAAGGTCAGGAGTTGAAGACCAGCCTGAGCAAGAGTGAGACCCTGTCTCTACTAAAAATAGAAAGAAATTAGCTGGACAACTAAAAATATATAGAAAAAATTAGCCAGGCATGGTGGCACATGCGTGCAGTCCCAGCTACTCGGGAGGCTGAAGCAGGAGGATCGCTTGAGCCCAGGAGTTTGAGGTTGCTGTGAGCTAGGCTGATGCCATGGCACTCTAGCCCGGGCAATAGAGTGAGACTCTGTCTAAAAAAAAAAAAAAAAAAAAAAAACAAGCACCTACTCAGCTTCCAGAATTGTGCCAGACACTAGAATGAAAGATAAGTTGCTTTTCTTGAGGATCTTATGATCAGGTTGGGAAAACCAGACTCACACCCAGGAAGCATTAATGCCATAATATATAAACAAGTGCTAGAAGACATAGTGCAGATTTCCTATGTTATAGGAATTAAGATATATGCATAGTCCTTATGGACTCGAATAGAGGTTAGGTTGAGCTGGGCCTTGAGAGGTGAGTAGGATTTCGAAAATTGGGCAGGAGAAGGGAAAGGAAAGACATCCTAAGCAGGATGAGGGGAAACCAGTATAAAAGCCTGAGGTATCCCAGGTTTGTTAAAAAGGCAACAAGGAGCATGTTACCCCAGAGCGGGGCCTTAGCCATATCCCATGCCAGAGTGAGTATGTGTTCTAGCAGGTGCTGTCCAAGCAAGGTGGGGTGCGGCTGGGGTCCCTTTGTTTCTCCAGTGCTTCCGTCTGCCTCTGGGGTGGCCCCAGGTTTATCCTGACAGATGCATGTGCACCTGGAGCAAGTGACAACCCCACTGGGCTGGGATCTCCTTCTTTCAGCCCCAGGCCCCTACACCTGCTGTCGGAGCCCAGCCAAGCAGAGGGACTGGCCATGCTAGAGCCCCTCTGAGCTCTGTAGCAAGGTGAAGGCCAAGCATTTCTGTGTGCAGACAAGGATGGGAGAGGCGGACACTGCCATACGCAGCCCTCTGTCCCTACAGGGAGCTGGAACTGACTGCAAGATGCCTCAAGGGTGTGGAACAAGAGAAAAAGGAACTGAGGCACCTCACGGAGTCCTTGCAGCAGACGCTGGAGGTGAGGGGCTGCTGGTGGGCTGGGGGACTGGGAGGCAGGCTGGCTGGTTGGGCCACATGATACTGGTTGCTCTGACAGTGTTTCCCCAGGGCGTTATCTGCTAGGAGCACGGGCACGATGGGGCACTGACCTAAAGGGTCTCCAGCTGATGCATGAGGCCCAAAGCGGGACGTGGTTGCTCCCAGACCCAGAAGGGCAAGTTCAAGCTTGCCTGTGCCCAGACCATGGCCTCAGGACATCCACCTTCTTCAGTGCTTCTATTTTTATACTAGATGGAGGACTGGTTAGGTGGGCAGTGAGGCCGCCCACCACTTCCTTCTTGTGGCTTGTTCACTTGGCTGCTCCTGGGCGAAATTGACCATGAAGGAAAATTAACTGCCAGGTCACCTCCATCTGATACCACAGACGCTGAGGGAGAGGGGGAGGGGCACGCGTCAAGGACAAAATACAAACTCCTTAGCGTGGCAGGCAAGTGTGAACTCCGGCCCCAGCCTCTTCTCCCTCCCGCTCCACTCTCCCTCAGCCATCCCTCTACACCCCGCAGGAAGACCCAACCCCTGCCCCAAGCCACTGAGCTCAGGCACCCCGAGGAGGCCAAGCTCTTTCAGGCTCCGTACCTTTGCCCATACGATTCCTTCTGCACAGTGCGTCCTTCCCACCTCTCCTCTGCCTGGAGAACGAACTCCTATTCATCCTTCTAAGACTCAGCTCAAATATCTCCTTGGTCAAGCTTCCCTGATTGTTGTAGGCAGGTATTTACTCTGCACTCTGGGCTCCCATGGCATTTTGTGTACCTGTGGTGGGACTTGACACTCTAGGTGTGTTTTCCAAACTGTGAGCTTCACTGGACCGTGTCTTAATGGTTTCTCCAAGCCCGGCCCCTGAAGCGGGCCTGGCACATGGTCGTGACCCATGCACGTCTGAATCCGTGAATTGCCTTGAGGGCTGCAAGGGTTTCCAGTCTCCTTTGACCGACTGGAGCCTTGTTTGTAGTGCCGTACTTGTTTATCTTTCTCTGTTTCACATCACGGAAGGGGTTCCCACTGATATTTTCAACTCCAGGATTTCTGCATAGTGCAGGATCCCAGTCTGATAAATGGGGAGAACATCTAAACCTGCTCGTGGGCTGGCTTCTGTTGCGTGTTTTTCACATAAGCCCAATACATCCCCTCTCTGGGCCATCCCCTGGAGGTCATGGTGCCCTTGGGCCTTGGGACCCAGTTCTAGAAGGTGCCATCTCTACCGCACTGGGCTCCTTTCTGACTCCCTCCATGGAGGAGTAACCTTGCCTAGTTGTGAGGAAGACCGTGGCCTTTCACCTCAGGAGAGGAATGAAGGCATTTCAGCTATCACAGAGGATTGAGAGAGGCATCGATCACTCCCTGGAACTGAAAGGCAGGTGAGGGCAGCCATGCTGGAGAACCTAAATTAGGCTCTTTCTTTTCCTTTCCTCCTGCCATGCCAGGAACTCTCCATAGAGAAGAAGAAGACCCTGGAGATGTTGGAAGAAAATGAGAACCAGCTGCAGACACTGGCCAATCAGAGTGAGCAGCCCCCTGCCAGTGGAGGTCTCCATAGCAACCTCAGGCAGATCGAGGAGAAGATGCAGCAGCTCTTGGAGGAGAAGCTTCTGGCCGAGAAGCGGTGAGCCTGAGACTCCGAGTCCATGATCAGCTTTGGGGTCTGGTAACCTTCCTCAAACTGGACGATTGGACTCTTGGGTTCTAGCTGGCACTGGCCAGATGGGTCACTCACTTCCTTTGGCCTAGGATTCCATTTCCCCACCAGGCAAAGGGGAAGACCACTTTCCCCACCCAAAGCTGGCTTGGTCATTTTCTCTTGCAATGGTATGAACCATACAGGGTCATCGGGTCCTTGTAACGGTCCTTTGTGGCAGGCTGAGCAGGTTCTCTCAGCCCTCTTCCATGTGAGGAAACCGAGCCTCAAAAGGGTGATGTGACTTTTCTGAGGTCACAGAACTAGCAAGCTCTGGAGCCAGAACTCCATTCTTCTGAGTCTAAGCCGAGGGCTCCCATCACTGAGCACAACATCCTCGCATCGCCTGGGTGCCTGCACCCAGGAAGTCTTGGGGCTCACGAAGCCTGGGGCTTGGATTCTTCAGCCAGGTCTCTAAGTGGGGCTGCCCTGCCATTGGCCACCTCTTTCGGCGAATGAGCATTGAGTAAGTGCCTCTTCTGTCCCTGTAGGATGAAGGAGAATGAGGAGCGCTCCCGGGCCCTGGAGGAGGAGCGTGAGTTCTACTCAAGCCAGTCCCAGGCGCTGCAGAACTCGCTGCTGGAGCTGACCGCAGAGAAGCAGCAGGCCGAGCGGGAGCTAAAGGTGTGGCCGGGCCCACTGGGAGCAGCTGGTGCTCAGGGCCCTTCCTGTAACCTGGAGACTTCCCTCACATCCCTGCACTTTACCGGGTAGCTGCCTGAATTATCTCTGCCCATCTAGCCAGCAGGCCAGATATGGGGATGGAGTCACCACGAGGGGAAGCAGCGAGTCTGCTGCATTGGTGACAGATGGCTGCTGGGTGCAGGGGCAAGTGCAGGCCATCTGGTTCAAGGGTGAGGCAGGGAGGCAGGATATGGCAACTTCCACCCAAGCCCATGGACCAGGGGTGACCAGGGAAGGCTTCCGGGGTAGATGGCGCCTGCTCCCAGGACCTGACTGCCCTCTCATTTCCCTCTCTGCTCACCCTCAGGCCGAGGTCAAGATCCGCATGGATCTGGAGAGGCGCCTGCGGGAGGCAGAGGGGGCCTTGCGGAGCCTGGAACAAGGGCTCAACTCCAAGGTGCGGAATAAGGAGAAGGAGGAGAGGATGCGGGCTGACGTCAGCCATCTGAAAAGTAAGTCCTGCCCACCCGCCTGGCCCCCAGCCTGGAGCTCAGCCCCAGCCCAGGGCAGGCCCTGGAGAGCCCCGAACAGGGCCTGGTGTGCATGGGGTGTCCCATAGAGATTTGGGGTTTTTTGGGTTTTTTTTTTTTTTGAGACAGAGTCTCGCTCTTTTGCCTGGGCTAGAGTGCTGTGGCGTCATCATAGCTCACTGCAACCTCAAACTCATGAGCTCAAGTGACCCTCCTGCCTTGGCCTCCCAGGGTGCTAGGGTTACAGGTGTGAGCCACCGTGCCTGGCCTTCCCATAGATATGGACGGGGCTTCTTCTCCAGACCCCCGCCTGCAGTATCTCCTTGGCACTGCTTCATTTTGGCTGTTGGATCTGGGTGGGGGTCAAGGGTGGGGAAAGCCTGGAATTTCTTTCCCTTTTCACAAGCTTAGAGTTCTGTTCTCAACAGACCTGCCCCTGAGATGGCTGCAGATTATGGTTTGAGGGGCAAAGGGTGACCCTTCAGCAGGTGGCTATGGTCTCTCAAGGGATGAGGTCCACACGTTTCCCACTCAGCCCCACCAGGATCCTGGGCAAGGGAGGGCCAGGGCTGGGGCAGGGGGGAAGGATGCAGTCGCGTGGCACCCTTCCTGGCCCTGCTGCCACAGGGTTCTTTGAGGAGTGCATCCGGAATGCTGAGCTGGAGGCCAAGATGCCGGTCATCATGAAGAACTCGGTGTACATCCACAAGGCGGCCACTCGCCGCATCAAGAGCTGCCGCTTCCACCGGCGGCGGTCTAGCACCTCCTGGAACGACAGTAAGTGTGGCTGTCTGCAGGCCCTGGGGATGTGGGGTGGTCACAGGCTGTTGGTGACAAGGCAGGAAGAGGGCAGGGCAGACAGTGAGAAAGGGTGGCCCAGCTTGGAGGCAGGACAGTGCAGCCTCAAGCCTGGCTCTGCTGTCCTTGGGAAAATGTGGGCGTTCTCAGGGCATCGGGTTCCTGGAAGCCTACGGGTAGGAAGGGCTGGGAGGAGCTCAGTGGCACAGAGGACGGGAGCAAGGTTGGGGACAGCCAAAACTTGGTGGGCCCTGTCTCCCCAGTGAAGCCGTCCCAGTCCTTCATGACCTCCCAGCTGGAAGCCAACAACATGGAGGAGCTGAAAGAGGTGGCCAAACGGCTCAGCAGGGACCAGCGCTTCCGGGAATCCGTCTACCACTTCATGGCCGCCCAGCCCGGAGCCCCCTCAGCACTTTCCCGTGGTGCAAAGTGATGGGTGCTCTTCCCTTGCCTCCCGATCTTTCCTCTGGGCCCAGGGTCGAGGGTTGGGAAGGGAAGCCCAACTCTACCTGGCTCCTCTCCTCTGGGAGGCCCCTGGGGGCCAGCCTCACCCCTAAAGGACAGGGACGCCCTCCCTCACCCCCACCCCAACCCTACCCTTGGGTCTACACCAGGTCCATGCAGGCCCAAGCTGGGTGCTGCCTGGTTGTCATGGTGAGGTGAGGACAAGGCCTGGCTGTACCTGGAGGTATTTGTTGGTTGGGGGTGGGCCGGGGAGGGGCTGTCTACCCTGTGTGGACAGGCAGGGCCTGGCCTGCTGGGCGGAGACTGTGGCCCTCTCTGGTGCCCACCACACTGCTCTGTGACTCTGCCGCCCTGCCCCTGGTCCTCATGTATAGAGGCCTTACCGCCCCACCTTGACACTCCCTTTCCCCCAGGTCCCCTGACCCTGTCTGCTTTTGACACACAGCGAGGCAGCCCTCAGCCAAGGCCCCTCACTCATACCACATGGTGGAGTAGGGAAGAAAGGGACCTAGGACAGTAGCCTCCGGGCTTACGGCACACACACGCTTGACACAGAACTGCCTTTCCTAAGGCCGGGCCCTGGCTGTGGGGCCACCCGCTAATGTCCTGCCCCCTCAGGTGGGCTCAGCCACATGTGGCCTCAGCATCCTCCGAGGGTGTTGCGATCCCACCCATGTCCCTCCTGCATATGCATCTAGGCCCTGGGCCCTGGCTGGGAGCTGGGGCCAGCAAGGTCAGGAGTGAAAGAAAGTGGCTCTGGCTCCTGCATCACCTCCTCCTGGTGGGGCAGGGAGGCAGTGTCCATGCAGCTGAGAGATCACAGATGTCTCCCTCCCAGCTTCTGTGGCCTTGCTGCCTCCTCTCCCTAAGAGACTTCGCCCAGTGAGGCAATGTGATCATGCGCCCTGCAGATGGGGGCCCGGGCTGTGATGAGGCCAGAAGCCAGTGGTCAGCTCGGGTCATTAGGGGCAAAGCTGAAACAACAATCTGCAGCTTTCACGGAAGACCGCCCCCTCCGGGGGGCAGAGGGCTGCAGCGCGTGTCCCTCACCCACAGTCTGCCCTGCCCTTCTCCTTGCAGGCCCACCGTCCAAAGCTGCCTGAGTCTGTTGGCCTTTTCAAAAAAAGGGGTGTAGGCCGGGCGCGGTGGCTCACGCCTGTAATCCTAGCTCTCTGGGAGGCCGA